GCTCCTCCGCGGGCAGCCCGTAGCCTGGAGGGACCCAGCGGACAGCCGGGCCGGGCCGCCTCGCACCAAACCGTGTCGGAAAGATGCGAGCTTTCAATGCCAAGTCATTTTTAAGCCCCAATCTTGCCTGAGACCTTTCTCCTCGAGGATGAAAAGAACAATTTTCTAGAGAAAGGCTCGTTTTGATTAAATCTGACATGCTGCTGATAACTCCATGCTAATGTGAAATAATTAACATAATAGCCATAATTAAAAGCACGCTAACAATACCATAAATTTATCACACAATTTTACTAGCTTTCTGCCCCTAACTGCTCTCTCATCGTTAATTAAACGTGTTGCCTTTTACAGAATGGATGTTTATACATTTCCAATATAAATAAATTCAAACCCATCCTCTCTCTCTCCTCTCTCTCCTCTTTTCCCTTTGGTCTCTGGCCATTCACAGGAACTTCTTGGCAGGGGCCCTGAGTGGCAGACACCTTGAAAATAAATGAAGTTTTGAGATGCAAATCTAAACAAGAACATTAAATTAGCCTTTTCTCCCCCACCCGAAGAGATCTGGAGAGGTATACAAAGCTGGTGGGGAGTGAGTTGAAAATCCCACTGACGTGAAAATAGAAATAATCTGGGTGGGTTGGGGACCTGGGTATCAGCTCAGCCTTTCCCACCTCCCACGGTGGCGGCCACCCAGGCAGACGCTGATCGTAGCTAAACAAACCCATGAAGATTGTCAAGTAGCAGCCGACTTCGGTTCTTGGGGGACAGGAAGCGGGGTACATTCCAAATGGGCTCCACCCACGTTTTGTTTCCTCTGCTATAGAGGGTGGCTCCTCTCGGTGGCGGAGGCGCCCCTCACTGCGCAGAACCTGGTCCCATCTCCCGGATTCTAAGAAAAGCGCATCCGTGTGAGGGCATGATTCTATCTCACTTTCGTCCAACGATTTATTCAAGCCATTGGCATAGTCTCTGACCTCGAGGAGGAGGAAGGGGACACCTGAGTTTCCTCCCTCCTGGCGAGCGTTAGGTGGGCCATTCCCGCCTCCAGCCCTCTGGCCGTGCCCCTCCTTTGTGTTGACCACTTGCGAATCCAAACGGAGTTACAATTAATTTCCCCTTCAGCGCCATAAATTGTTCCACTTCTCCCCTCTCCATTTCATCCCGGAGAACGCACACAAAATCTCCCCTCCCCCGAGGTGTCTCAATTTCCTTCCAATCGATCCGGGCTTCACGTTTCGTGTTTCCTGTAGCTAGAACCCTGGCCCCCTCCACCACCATCGCCAACCCCGTCCCCGACGGCCCCGTCCGGGTGGCCACCACCCAGCTGGATACCATGGACTCTGCCCGCCCCAAGAGAAACCCCATGCCTTTCTCCTTTGGCTGAGCCGTTTCAAACATTTGAACAGGTGAGACAGCTCGCTTCCATCTTCTTTAAATCCCTCCTGGGAAGTTTGCTTGTGGCCCAAGTAGTCACTCCCAGAGTATGTGTGTGCACTCCTCTTGCTCTCTCCCCCAGTAACTCTCTACAACTCAGAAAATATTTATCGACATTTCACCCCCTCCCCAATATTTCCATTCCCTCTATCACATTTTTCTCCTCCCACTCTTATGTCACTTTCTCTCTGTATCTGTCTCGCTTCTTTCATCTCACTTTACCCTAAGTTTGGCGGTCACTGACGACTTGTGGGCATTTAGCTGCAAAATGCAATTATTTAGCAAACAGGGTTTACTGAGCCTGGAATGGAGTCGGCCTAGGGCAGGACCCTGCTCAACGTCAGGCTCCCGCCCAGGCCCTTCCGCCTTCTTCCCACCTGAGCTGCTCCTTCGCCTCCTTCCCTCCCCGGAGGTTGCGGGCTGGCGCTACTGTCCTCCCGGAAGGAGGGAAGCCGCGGCCGGTTTCCCAGCCGAGAGTGGTAGCGGGAAAGCAATCGATATTAAGCGGATGGGCCGGTGCGGGCGCCAGACGTAGGGGCTGCAGCCCGTGGGTCCTGCACGTCTCATCATTTAGCTAATCGAGTCGAAAAGTTTCTGTAAGGGCCAGACCCAGCATCAGATGGTAACACTGATTGAACAAGAGATTAGCACAATAGATCTCTAACCGAGGGGAAGCGTTGCTTTTCACGCTACGCACCGTAATTAATGGTATGAATCAATTAATTTGACTTTTATTGTGTCGAAGGAAAAAAGCGCAACAAATGGAACTGGCGGCTGGGAGTTGTTCAGCCCCCGCTTTCCCCCAGGGAGGTTACAAAGAGGCACCGGGGAATGGACGGTTCCGGCTCGGTCTTGACCGGGGAGGTGAGAGGCAGCGACCAGCATCGCCCAGGGAATCCTGAGAGCCAGCCCGGGCGGGACAGCGGAATCCAAATTAGGCTCATTGAGACGCTACCTCCAGAAGACTTGCGGAGGGCGGCCCCTGAAGCCGCCACCCTCCCGTGCGCTCACACACACACGTGCACTGGTTCACGCCGGCCCAGCCTCCTGGGCGCACGGTGGCTTGCGCTGCGGCGGCCCCAGCCAACCACGGGGGCTGGGTACCGCCGCCGAGGAAAAGGAATTTCTGAATTTGTAAATTTCGGTTTCCTTTTTTGTCCTTCCGAGCTTCCTGTTGTGATGTTTGGGTTACTCGGACAGTTGCAGCCACGACCTCTGCATCTGTGGGCTGCAGGCAGCCAGCTCACACTCTGGTCGGTTTCGCGGGAGGCTGTTCAGAAGGCATTGTAAACGGTTCGAAAGCCTGCGGGCCACAACGCTGTGCAGCTGGGAAGTCAACGCATGAGAAGCATTTTAGAGTCAGGTGCAACCGGGGGGTCATTCAGGTACAGGGAAACTTGGATGGAGCAACCGCCCCCACTCTCCCCCCAACCCCAACCTGGAAAGTCCTGCGAAGTGGGGAGCCAATGGGTTAGTGTTACAAACCCAGGAAATTATCGAATGGAGATGAGAGTCAATCTGTGTGATAAACTGCCAATAATGAAGTAAGTTTACCGATTGGGGTGGGGTGGGTGTCTAGGCCAAGGAAAGAGAGGGGGTCGTTGGTGAGCGAGACAGATTGAGGGAATCAGAATACCACTGTCCACCAGGAATTTAATCGGTTTCCTAGTGTGTCCTGTAAATATTTCACTAATTTTTTGTCCTCGGACCTCCTCCCCTTTTGCTCTTTGCTCTGATGAGACCGGCATTCCCCTCTCAGGCCTTAGCGGACAGGCTGGGTTGGTTTCCAGGAGCCCGCCACACCCCGCAAGCTATGAGACGGCCTAAAAATGCAGGAGGGAAGAGGTGGCGCGTCGCGGATTCACCGCTCAGAAGCACTATTCGGAAGCACTAGGTCGACGCGCCCCAAGTAACGCCCCAGTTCTCCTACCATCACTGACTTTCCTTGCCAGGGACACTCGGCGTGCACTGTCCGCATCCTCCACCCGTCCTGCTGCTGACTGCCGAGGAAGTTACATCTTGGAAGGTTTCTCTAAGTCTTAAGAGGAAAGAATCCGCGTTAGTTAGCAGCAACTGTGAGCCTAGCCCGCCGTCAAGCCCCAGGCCACCCCCGCTCCCAGGAGGCTGGGCCCAGCCAGCGGGGAAGTCACACCACCGGCTCCCGGGCCGTCTAGTGCCATCCCAGCCCGGACGCGGCATCTAATCTAAAGGCCCAAAGTCTCTTCCCAGTCCCACTCAACTTACCCAGGCCGCTGCCAATCCCGGCTCCTTCCCCGGCACTTCATTTCCGATTTTTCCCCCCCACATGCTAAGTTGTTTAACAACTCGGGAGCAGCTAGTTATGGCTTCTTTATTTATAGGTTCCCTGTTATTTTACGTCGTTTTTATTTCACTCGGCAACTATTCTAATAGATTAATCAATAGCCATTTTCTGACCTTCGGGAACCCCAGTTGAGGCCGGCTGGACGCGGGAAAAAATACATATATATATGAACATGCCAACAACGAGACGGGAAAGCCAAGCCGGTGGTCAGGGTTTTGGGGAGGGGAGGGGAGGTGGGGAGAGCGTCCCCTGGGTAGATGTTTCCACTGAATAAGCCCTGAGACAGGAGGAGGGGTCTGAAGTCTAATTTGCAAAACGGAGCCGAGTGCGCAGCCCTTCCTCTTTAAAGCTAAAAAGAATAAAAACAAAACAGACTACTAAGTTTTTCTTTTAAAAGGGAGGGGTGGGAATCTTGTTCTATGCTTCCCAGTCCCTGCCAAGGAGTGCTGCTATAAGGGGGGGAGGGGGAAGGGGGAAGGGGGAGGGGGCGGGGAGGGCAGGGCAGAAAGAGCCACCAGGTCCCACCGACGCTCCCAGGCCCACGCCCTCACTCGCTCACACCCACTCTCCCTCACTCACACCCGCAGGCTCCCGCGCCCCCCGCGCCGGGCTGCAGCCTGGGCTGAGGTCTCCGGGCAGGCCGGGGCGCCCTCGGTGCCCGCGGGATGCTGGCGCACCGCGCGGCGGGAGTTGCGCGTCCCTCGTCCCTTTGTTGACAATTCCCCTGAACCAACTTGAGTTTGGCCGGCTCAGCCGTGGCCCTGACGTCACACGTGGTCACGTGGCCCCGCCTCCCGCTGGATCTTTAAGTAGAAAGTAATCTATCAGGCCAGTCCTTAAAACGGGACTTTCGACTACGGGGGCTTCGGTGTCCCTGCACCCCCTCCCCTCGTTGCCCCAGTCTGCGCCCTCCCGAGCTGCTCGGCGCCCGGCGTCCCGCGCCCGCCGGCACGGCTCCTGCACCCCACCCCCGGCCCAGGGGCCGAAGAAGGCTGGCGAAGTGAGGGGGCGCGGCGTGGAAAAGCCGCCGGGGCCGGGGCGCCTAGTACCGAGCGCCGGGGACAGCGGGAGTTGGCAGAGTGCGGCCACCGGGGCCGGACGGCAGCGCCTTCGCCGCGCGATGCCGGGCCGCCGAGTGTGAGCCGAGCCGGGAGGGCCCCGAGCCACAAACGCTCCCTCCTCTCCCCCAGGACCCCATCTTTCGGGGGGCGCCCAAACCCCCTTCCCCTGAGCTCGGCGGCAGTTCCTGACGGCCCGCATCGCCCGCCGCTTCTTTCCCGCAGCCGCCACCCACCCCGAGGAGGGATGACCCTCTCCGGCGGCGGCAGCGCCAGCGACATGTCCGGCCAGACGGTGCTGACGGCCGAGGACGTGGACATAGATGTGGTGGGCGAGGGCGACGACGGGCTGGAAGAGAAGGACAGCGACGCCGGCTGCGACAGCCCTGCGGGGCCGCCCGAGCTGCGCCTGGACGAGGCGGACGAGGTGACGCCGGCGGCACCCCACCAGGGGCAGCCTCAGCCGCCGCACCAGCAGCCCCTGGCATTGCCCAAGGAGGCGGCCGGAGCCGGGGCCGGGGCCGGGGCCGGGGGCGAGGCGGGCGCGTCCGAGGCCGACGGCTGCAAGGGCGGCATTGGCAGCGAGGAGGGCGGCGGGAACGGCGGCGGGCCCGGCTCCGGCAGCGGAGCGGCGGGCGGCTTGACCCCGAGCAAGCCCAAGAACAGCCTGGTGAAGCCGCCCTACTCCTACATCGCGCTCATCACCATGGCCATCCTGCAGAGCCCGCAGAAGAAGCTGACCCTGAGCGGCATCTGCGAGTTCATCAGCAACCGCTTCCCCTACTACCGGGAGAAGTTCCCCGCCTGGCAGAACAGCATCCGCCACAACCTCTCGCTCAACGACTGCTTCGTCAGGATCCCCGCGAGCCGGGCAACCCCGGCAAGGGCACTACTGGACCTGAACCGCAGTCCGAGGACATGTTCGAAACGGCAGCTCCTGCGGGGCGGGAAACGTTCAGCGCCACAGGCAAGAGCACTGCGCGAGCAACTGCTCTCATGATTCAGAGCTTTGGCGCCTACAGCCTGGCGGCGGCGGCGGGCCCCGCGGGACCTAACGGCCGCCCTTACGGCCTGCATCCGGCCACCGCGGCGGGCGCATACTCGCACCCGGTTGCTGGGGCGGCGGCGGCGGCGGCCGCGGCGCTCCAATACCC